TGCAGCCGATTAATTCATCAAATATTGAAAGAGGTCTAAGGCGAGTAACACGTGTGCTTTTAACCCAAAAATATTTAGAACTTGTCGCTTTAGATAAATCGTTACAAACGATAAAAGGAGAATTAATTTTAAATCAAGGTAAATTAGATCAGGAAGACGCAAAAATTCTACAGGTCGAAGCCGAGTTCGAAGAAGCGACATCGGAAGGAGAGCGTACAGAACTTCAACGGCAATTAGACGACTTACGAAGCGAGAAGATTTGAACAATATTTAGAGAGCAAGGCGTCATAGTTTTTACCTGGGACAGGTACGTAACCGTTGTCGTAATAATAAGCGGTACCTAATCCGTTCGACAATGTGTCGTGAGTTTGTTTAAATGATTTATTCGGATCGACTATTAAAGACACGTGGATAAAAGACACGTGTCCGTAAACTTCCGATGATTGGTCACCCAGCGATTGACGGCTTCGTCCGTGGTTACTTTCGGTAATTTATACGCGTGCTTTAAATTTGGAAAATCGGCTGAAAACCAGTTTTCTTCGTTGACTAAAATTGGTAGGCTACTAAAGTTGGCTCCCATTTATTTTATAAGTCTTTATTTTAAAGGAGGTGCCGTCGGTTGAACTGTCTGATAAGCGGGTAGTAGGTCTTCAAACTTAACCGACTTTGCTAAAGTTACTTGCCAAGTTTATTTATAAGATCTTTTTTTTTAAACCGCCGCCCGTTCGTTGGCTAGCGCTTCTGCTCTTTCATTGACTTGACGTTCGAATTCTTCTTTAGAAGTTTCTTTAGTTTCTTGCAATTTGGTGCTCGTGTTGGACCTAATTTTTTCTTTCATTTCGTTAAACCTTTTCAGCTCGGATAAAAATAAGTACGAATTCCTCCTGCGATATATCATCGCCTTCAATCGCGTGAGATACGTATTCTTCGATGATGTTTAATTTAGCGTCTGCCAACATTTGGATTTGGTCGTGTTTTTTGGTTTTGTGGTTGATTCTACGGGAGGGGTACTTTAGAACCGCGTTAGCACCGACCGCACCGATAGCGATGCCTTCCATCACAAGACCGACGGGCCTGGTAACGACGCCCAAAATTTTGGGAATGCCGAGAGCTGCCGAGGTCGCGCCCAATGCTTCCACGCTGTACTCCACGTAACCGAGTGCGGTTAAAAGTCGTTTGATCTTTTTATAGCTAGCTTCGCGCGCGTCGCGTTCTCTTTGAATTTGGGATTCAATTTCTTCGATCTTTCTGAGTCTGTAAATTTTAGTTTCTGCTTGTTCGGGTAAATCCAGATGTTTACTTAAATCCGGGTATACGTTAGTCGTCATCTTTTATTATATACGCGTTTTAAAAAATGTCTAACTCGATTAAAATTTTGCCAATATTATTCAAGAGCTCACCTCGATCGTTTTTAACAGAAAAAGTCAATTCACTGATGTTTCTGCGTTCTAACTTTTAGGCGTTTTACACGTCACGGGTGTTGAGGTGCGAGGCTCGGTAGCTATCACGCATAACAAGTCTAAAGACTGCCCGTTATAAAAATTTTCAAATGTATTTAATTGTTTGCAATGAATAAACGCGAGTTTCAATGAGTTTAAATCGTCTTGCCTTGAGATAGGGGTCCGTAATGGCCAAAGTCACCCTTTTAGATTCTGAGTGAACCTTAAAAGAAACGCATGGAATTGAGTTTAACAAAAAGTGAAACCAGTCCATGTTATAATAACAGGGAGATACCACGATGCTTCCTCTTTGACCCTCGGGTTATGGTTGAGTTGAGCTTCGCGAATGAAGTCTGTCGTATATAGGTTCAGTTAGTCCCGTCAAAAACAGCCTTTTAGTTAATTCTCTTCTGGGTCTCGTGGGTTGCACGGGGGCGTTGGTGGTAGGTCGAGTTGGGGGATTACCTTCGTAAATTTCATCCAAGGCCTGTCTTTGCCCCTCGAGCAGTGAAGCTGATTTGACTTTTTTATCGTTGACATCATAAGCTAAACGAGCTCGCGTTTCTAAT